TCTCCTCCAAACCCCACCTTCCCTTGTGGATCTGGGTATCCCCTTCCCCCACCCAGTGTCTGACCCTCCCCTGAACAGAGAGGGATCTTGCAAAACCCAAGATCACCAGGGAGTTGGGTTAAGCCTCTCAGGGGCTCTTTCCCCCAACACTGGGCTAAGCCAGTGCCCAAGCTCTTTGGTACCCTCTGCTGGCCTTGGGTGACTCAGCTGGAGGACTGAGGCAGCGCTAGAAACAGCCTCAGTATCCCTGCCCCCTTTTCCCTCTCAGGCTGAGACCCCTCACCCAGACAAAACCAAGGCAAGCCTGTCATCCCCAGAATTTGGCACATTGTTATCCACAGCCTCAACTCTTCCAGACATACAAATACACACCCTGGAATCAATTAGTCAATCAATCAGCACCTGAGATGTGCCAGGCACTGGCCTATGTGCTGGGGATCTGAGACAAAAAAAGTGAAATGGTTCCTGCTCTTAAGAAGTTTCCATTCTAATAGGGGAGACAATATGTGCATATTACAATAAAACATTCAGAACAAATAGAGGTAGTTTGGGAGGGAGGGCACTAACTGTTTTGGGGGTGGGTCAGGAAAGACTTCAGGTGGAACGGAGTGCTGGGATTGGGTCCTGGAAGAATGAAAAGAGTCTGTGAAGCACAGGTGAGAAGGCAGGCCTTCCAAGATCAGAGACTGCCCAGAGCAAAAGTAGATGGAGGGAGGACCGTGAAAAGGGCATTTGGGCTGGATTGTAGAGAGTGGGAAGAAGAGGGATGAGAAGCAAGGCTGGGAAAATCAGTGGGGACCATCTTGAGAAATGCAAGCATTTGTGTTTTGTAAACATAAGACAATCGGGAAGCACTGGAGTTTCTTGCAGAGAGGAGTGGTTGAAGAAAGAGACAGAGAGATGGGGGAACAATGAAGGAGGGGACCATTGGAAGAATCCAGGTGGGGAGGGGTAGGGGCCTGGGCTGAGGTGGGGCCGTGTGATTAGAAAGAAGGGGTCAGGAGGAAAAGTGCGGATGAAGGTAGAAATGGCGAGGTTTGGCGATCGACATGGGGTAAGGGAGAGTGGGGAGACAGAGATAACACTGGTATTCAGAGCTGGGGAGACTGGAAGATGGGTGATGCCTTCCACAGAAACAGGGAAATTTGGTAGATGGGGGGGCTCCAGGGGGAAAGAGAATGAGCTCTGTTTTGGACATGGTGAGTTTCAGATAGCTTTGGGACAGAGATGCCCAACGCCTTACCCATACATTCACGTTATATGAGCACACACTTGCACACACTCATATTAGACCAACAAGTATTTATTAAACACCTGCTACGTGCCAAGGCTCTGTCCTAGGTGCTACAGATATAAGTACATGCGAAGAGCCCACATGGATATACTATGTACACATAAAACGCAGGAAATCTTCCTACATGCTCAGCACACATGTGCACACATCCTTGCTTACAGACATGCACTTCAGTGTGGTCACACGCACACATGAATACATTGTCAGACATATGTACATATGTACTCCAGCATGTAGTTCCTTGCACATGATATACACATTCACACAAATATAAATGCCCATAAGCACAGCACAGGCACACACACAAATCTCAGGCCCTCTTATCCTCTACCCCAGGTCAGAATAGGAGGAAGGCCCAGAGGGCGTGGGACTTGGTACTGCAAGCTCCTCTAGCCTTCTCACTGACTCTTCTCCCCCTCCTCCTGTGGGGGGATTCCTGAATCACCAGATCAAGGCTATGAGGAAGGACCCCTGGACAGAATGTCAAGAGCCAAGGCTGGACAGCTGGCTGGGAGCAGTAAGGTCAGACTCATGTTTGGGAGCCAGGACCCCCAGCTACCTAGGGATCCAGAACCGTGCCGCTACATCCTGGCTGTTTTTCACTGAATGGCAGCCAGCGGAGTGCTTTGAGATCCTGGAAGGACTCATGGGAAAGATTCAAAGTTGAGAGAGGGATAGCTTCTGGTCCCCTGAGGACCTTGCTTGCTGTATGAATGGGCGGGGCTTGTTTTCTGTCTCCTGTCATCTTCTTTTTTTGCTCTCTGTTGGGGTCTGGCCTCCTGAGGCTCACAGGCAGGTGCTGGGTCCAGGCCCTGGCACTGCTCCCTCCCCCCTTTCCCCCCACCCCCATCAAAGCAGTGCTGGAGATATCATGGAGGCAGCAGAAACAGCACAATAAGCCAGGTGCCTGTGTCATGTTCACACACACACACACACACACACACACACACACACACACACAGAGGGAGAATGAGCAAGCTCTCTGTGCCACAAGTGTTGGGCTTGGCATTTATTTGTGCTGCCCTTCATCTGTGTCCTCTTTCCCTGCTCGGATGAGGGTCCTCTTCCAATGTGGCCCAGAGACCCCTGCTCAGGGTCCCATTCAAGCCTGCTCTATCGTCCAAGTACAATTGCTATCATCCTCTTTCTCCATTACTTTGCTTCTCTTTTAAAGTCCTGTTTTAAAAAAAAGGGGGGGGAACCGAGGCCTGGCTGGGTATGGGGGCCCAAGCATGGGATGAGGTTAGCAGGCTTCCTCTTTGGCCTCGCGGCGGCCTCCCTCCCTGTCTCCCCCCTTCACCAGCCCCATTCCCCTGAGCCTGGAGCCTGGAAAATCTGATGAGTCTGCAACTCCTAAGTTTCCAGGCCCTTATCCAGGGGCCTGGCAGCAGCGGCGGCTCTGAGGTTTGGGGCCAGACTCGGGGGGGGGAGAGGGCATCCCCCCAGCTTAGTTGGTAGTGGGAGGGGGAGTCCAGAGGCCAAGGCAAAACCACGGTGGAGCTATCTCTAGCTTCCCTTTAGGATGCCCTGGTCCTTGCAGAATGTCCATGTCCCACGGGATATGACTCTTGTTCCCTATCCCTTTCCTTTCCCGGTCCTCCCCTATCCCCGCTTTCCCCATCTCACAGCCAGTATCTACACCCCCTGCCACCGCTCCCACTTTGGCTGTAGGAAAGCCAAACTTTTCCTCACGACCCTGTCTTTCCTATTCACTGACATTCTTCTGGTTCTAGGGTGGGTGTGTATCACCCAGGCCTGACCTCTGCAGGCACCAGCCAGATGGGGGCTGTGTGGGGCAGGAGGAAGCAGTTTGGGCAGCAGTGACTGAGAGGGGAATGAGTTAGAGGGCACTGGGCCCCTAGCAGGTCAAGTTCATCCCCTTTCTTCATAGCCTGTCCCCAGGTTGAAGGGCTCTACAGTTCTGGGGGAGTGGAGGGCAAGGTCTGCTGATATAAACCCCCACCTCCAGGGAACATGCTGGTTCTCTTGATTACCACACCAAACCAACCCCATTTTGTAAGGGTCCTCACTCCATTTCCTCAACACAGAGGAGTATATGGTGGAAAAAGTGCCGGGTTTGGAATCAGAGACCTGTGTTCAAATCTTCCCTTTGTCTTTTATTATACATATGACCTTGGGCCAGTCATCTAAATTCTATGGGCTTCGATTTCTTTTTCTGTAAAATGAAGAGGTGGACCAGATGACTTTGAAGGAACCTTTCATTTCTAGGTTTATAATTCCATGATTCTATGATCACGGGGCAAGTCACTTAACCCTGATTTCCTCACTCCCTCCCAAAAAAGTGCCACTATGATTCTATGATCATAACCACAGCTAGTACATAGAGCTATAATTTAAAGTCAGGAAGACCTGAGTTCAAATATAGCCTCAGACACACTACCCTGGACAAATCATTTAACTTCTGTCTGCCTCAATTTCCACATTTGTAAAATGGCGATAGGGGCAGCTAGGTGGTGCAGTGGATAGAGCACCGGCCCTGAAGTCAGGAGGACCTGAGTTCAAATCCAGCTTCAGACCAAACACTTGACACTTACTAGTTGTGTGACCCTGGGCAAGTCACTTAACTCCAATTACCTAAAAATAAAAAAATTTAAATTTAAATTAAAAATAATAATAGCACTTGTTTCCCAAGGTTGTCGTGAGGATCAAATGAGAAAATATTTGTAAAACACTTAGCACAGTGCCTGGTATATAGTAGGTGCTTAATAAATGCTTGTTTCCTTCCCTGTCACACCCTGACCTAGATTCCAATCTCAGCTCCGCTACTTAACCTCAGTAAAATGGAAGGGTAAATTTGATGGCTTCTAAATTAGTCAGTTCTGTGACTCAATGTTCCACCTGCCCACAGAAGTGTATATGCACACACGTACATGCAGGCTGGAGCCTGTGCCTACTCTGGACAATGCAGAAGAAAATGATGGCACACCTCACTGGTTTCCGCTGCCATCACTTGCCCATGTGGGCCGCTCACACTATGCTCATATACCCATATCACCATCGGTTCTATGAAACGCTAAGGTTAAAAAAGTGCCTTCCCCCAAACAACTCTATGAAAAAGCCAATTAGCAAAATCATTATCAGCTCATGGAGGCTGACCTGCCCACAATGATTTAGCCAGTCACGTTTGGAAGAGGGATTTGAACCTAGGTTGTTTAACTCAGAGGATTCTAGATCTAAAGCTGGAAAGGGCCTCGGAGGTCGTAGAACCCATTTTACAGATGAGGAAACTGAGGCCTCGAGAGGGTAAATGACTTGCCTAGGGTTGAACAGCGAGCAAGCATCTGAAGTAAGATTTCAGCCTAGGTCCTCCTGGCTCTATCTATGCCTCTATCTTATGCAGGCTTGCATGCCTTTCCAGCAAGCCTACCCCACTGGGGGGGAGAGAGAGATTGGGAAAGGGAGGAGGAAGAAATCAGGGAAAGGGTTAGGGTTGGCATTGAGGATGGAGAAGAGGATCAGGACAGACATGAGGCTAGACATGGGGGAGCTCCTGCTGTCCTCATTGTGTGCCATACCTTCTCCACTGCCCTGGCCTCAAGCCAGCAGCCCTGTTGCCCTCCTCTCAAAGCCAAGCCTTAGGTAGGCACAGCTCCCCTGTTTCTGGCTTATGCAGCCTCCGGCTCTCGGCCAACAGGCTGGGCGGGGAGGCTGGTGGGTGGGTGGATGGGAGGGGCTGGCTCCACCCCCACGGCCTCCTAACTATCCCTTTCATGCTTGGTTATGAGGCCCCTGCTTTTCTTCACTGTCCTCCTCTGGCTCAGGGGAACCTTCGCAGAGGTAAGGTGGGCACGACTGGGGTGGCAAGAGGGGCTCGGACCACGGGGGCGATTCTGGGCTTGCCGCCTTCTCTGCGACCCCACAGCTGGTCTGCATTAGGTTAGCCCAGCGGCTGTTCCTGCACTGGCTGCTGGTGGACCAGAGACCGATCTTCCTTCCACTGCCTTAGAAACTCTGAGTGCCCCTTTGGGAGCTGTAGTGGTTGTGTCAGGGGCATCAGAGACTGCCGAGAGGTTCTTCCTTGCCTCTGGACTGGTCTGCTTAGCTTCTCTTCTGCTCTTGTCCCATCCCAACTGAGAAGTCTGGGTGCTGGGCCACTTGTCCCAACGATTCTCCTTCCTACAGGATGAAGATGGATGCAACCAGGTAGAGGTGCCCGCAGAAAGTGAGCATGGAGGTAGGTGCTCAAATAAGCCCCTGGAAAGGGCTGTGGGACAGTTTCCAACATCAGCTGGTATTCTCCATGTCTTCAGTGCCCTCTGCTCCGCCTACCCTCTCCGATGGTTGTATTTTCTCCCTCTTGGCTTCTTTCTTGCGCGGGCATTAGCCTCCCCTAAGGCTGGAGGGGCACACCCCCACCGGAGGGCACATGGTGCTATGCGTAAAGGCAGGAAATCTGGGTTCCTCTGCCAGTGGCCCTGTGATCCCAGGCAAATCAGTTTTCCCCTCTGGGCCAGAGTTTTTCCATGTGTAAAACAGATGAGCTGGATGAGTCGACTTCTAAGGTTCTTTCTACCTCTGAATCTTGTGCTGCCACGATCCTTCTCGCTCTAACATTCTGTGATCCCGTGGACCTATTCTCCTCTTCCAGGACAACCTCTGCAGGTGAACGTCAGTAGTCAAGGTCAGCCGGCGAGCCTGGTCCTGAACTGGGGGACTGGAGTCCCAGCTGGGCGGGGCTATGTTCTCCGTCTTACCCGCCTAGGCTTCTCTGCCCCTCTGGAGAAGCTGCAGCTCCAGGTTGGCCCCAATGCCAGTGGCTTCCAGTTCCAGGACCTGATCCCTGGGAGCCACTACCAGCTTGAGGTGACGGTGCTGCTACCCTGCTCCCAGAATTCCACTATCACCCTCACAGCTCAGACGAGTGAGTAGCATCAGTGGGAGACAAGGAAACCAGGCAAAGGGCACCTTCAAGTGAATTGGTAGAGGGGAGGAACTGGGCAGGTGGGCAGTTTTTCAGGGATCAGATTTAGTAGGATGATCTAATTTAGGGTCTGGACAGAATTTTGGGAATTGAGGGGAGATGGTTACATTCCCTCTCACTCCCTTAGCAGCCCACTGGACATTTCCTTTTCTGTCCCTGGCATAGCACCTTCACCTGTCCACAACCTGACACTCCGCAACTCTGGGAGCCCATCTAGGTTAGAGGCTACTTGGGAGTCTGCTTCTGGACAACTAGATGACTACCAGCTTCTCCTTTACCACTTGGAGTCTCAGACATTGGCGTGGAACATCTCGGTGACTCCAGGAACTCTCTCCTGCCATTTTGGCAGTCTCCTGCCAGGCAGTGAATATGCCCTATGGGTCACAACCTGGGCTGGTGACCTCTATGCCAAGACCAGCATTCGTCAGTGGACAAGTAAGGAGAGTATCCTGAGTTACCTTTGCAGTTATGTCCTCAGGGTACTTGGAGGTTGGGGTGAGGAGAAGGCAGGCAGGGCAGAACCTCCTGGACAGGGTATTCAAGAGAGAAGCTAGTTTCTCTGTTCTTCCACGTCTAGCTCAGTGCCACCTTCCCTCATTTCCTCTTTTTTTTTTTGTAGGCAATGAGGTTAAGTGACTTGCCCAGAGTCACACAGCTAGTAAATGTCAAATGTCTGAGGCCAGATTTGAACTCAGGTCCCCCTGACTCCAGGGCCAGTGCTCTATCCACTGCACCACCTAGTTGCCCCCATTTCCTAACTCTTTAGACAGCTAGGTGGCATAGTGGACAGAGTCCTGAATCTGAAGTCACAAAGAACCAAGTTTGAATCCTGCTTCAGACATTAGCTGTGTGATCCTGGGCCAGTCACTTAAATTCTCATAGCTTCTTCATCTGTAAAATGAGGGGATTGGGCATGCTAGCTCTTATGGTCTGGGATCCTCAGGTCTTTCTTGAGATTAACCATTTTTCTCTCTGCCCCTCAGCTCCAACACCACCAGAACATTTAGCGTTGTTTGCCATGGGGACCAGCGCCCTTCAAGCCTCTTGGAGCAGGGCTGAGGGGGCAGCTTGGTTTCATCTGACTCTTCTGGATCTCTTGGATGGTGCTATCCTCACAGCTGTGGCCCAGCGGGGGACCACCAACCACACTTTCTATAACCTTTCCATGGGCACTCCCTACCAGCTGTCACTAGATGCTACTTCTGGCCTCTTCCACATTGGAGGACCCAATGCCACCGCGTGGACCTGTGAGTGCTATTGGGAGAGCAGGGCAAGAAAGGCACATTGGCCATTCCTCTCTAGGGAAACAGTTCTGGGGCAAGTTGCCAGGCTGTCCCCGGAAGTGGGCACCTCAGTACCCCGCAATGAAAGGGCATACGAGTGTATGACCTCCCCTTCGAGCTAACCAGATGCTCTTCACCTGCAGTAACTGTAAGAGCCCACTTCTTCTCTAACACACGTCATGTGGAGCTGCCAACATCTGGATGGGTCACTGGACATAGAAAGAATGGGGCACTCAGATGGGAGGGTATCCAGTACCCCCCTAAAACATAGCACCTACTTTCTTACCCTCTACTTCCCCTCCACCTTTCTCTTCCTCTGCGCTTTTCCTTGATTTCTCCCCACAGATCCCTCTGTCCCTTCTGACTTGCTGCTGACTCCTTGGCCCCCTGGGCTCTCGGCAAGCTGGCAGGCAGGGCCAGGGCACCTGGATGGCTACCTGTTACGGCTGAGTGGGCAGGTTGAGAGGAACAGTACCTTGGGACCTGAGGCTCTCAACACCACCTTCCCAGGCCCTCTTCCTGCTGGCCACTACACTTTGGAACTCACAGCCCTAGCCGGACCCCACGGTGCCTCAGCTCAGGCTGATGCCTGGCTAGAGTGTAAGTTTATGCACGTGGGCACAAGGTAGAGGGTAGAGGTTGAGGCATGATTTCTTTCCAGGCACTGCTCATGGGCATCAGCATTACTATCTAGGGCTATCCATGGCCTCTTGGGTCTCCAGTCCCTGGGATCCTCTTGGCCAGGGGTGAAAAGCCTGCAGCCTTGAGGCCACATGCGGCCATTTAGGTCCTCGGGTATGGCCTTTTGACTGAGTCCAAGTTTTACAGAACAAATCCTTTTATTAAGGGGATTTGTTCTGTGAAGTTTGGATTCAGTGAAAGGGCTGCACTTGAGGACCTAGAGGGCCACACTTGGCCTTTAAGGCTGCAGGTTCCCCGCCCCTGCTCTTGGTCTATGCCTGTGGGGCATTTATGGACGGGAAGGCTATAACCTACCAGGTTCCTCCAGGAAGGAAGAGGGTAACACTTAGTTGAACCCTGGATCATCTTACCTGAGCTTTTCACCGTTCTGATAGAACCAGCGCCCCAGATTGGATTGAACGATACATGTCTCTTGTTAGATATGAAAGTATGACAGTTCAAATCTTTGTGTATTAAATGCCTAGAGGGGAGGGGTGGGGGAAGGGAAAGGAATTTACCAAACCCATGCTGTATGCCAGGCGTAGTGTCAAAGTATTATCTTGTTTGATCCTCATGACAACCCTCGGAAGTAGGTGTTGTTATGATCCCCATTTTACAGATGAAGAAACTGAGGCAGACAGGAAGTGCCTGAGGTTGGATTTGAACTCAGGTCTTCCTGACTCCAGATCAAGTACTCCATCCTCTGTGTTCCCTCCTCCCAACTATCTAGAGGGAGCGTGGCATAAAGCAAAGAGCTCATGCACTTGGAGCCAGAAGACCTGGGTTCACATTCTGTCACTGGCTAATCTCAGTTTCATCATCTGTGCACAAAAGATTTCTTAGTCAATGTGGGGAACAGCAGTGCAGAAATTTTCTTCACTGATTCAGAACCCAGCCAGACTGTGACTTAGAAGATAAGTCCTAGGGAGTTGGTTGAGAGCATAGTGACTCTCGAATTAGTGATTGTGTGAGACAGGATTTGAACTCTGGTCTTCATGACTCCAAGCCAGTATCTTTTCTGCTATATCATATTGCCTCTCTTTTAAAAAAATTTGATATTTCTTTTTTACATCCCCTTCATTTCCAAATATATTCCTCCCCTCTTCCCTTTTAACAAAAGAATAAAAAAAGAGGGAAGTGAACAGTTCACCAAAATTCAACAACAAATCACTCTAATCTGATAGCACATACACTGATCCACACCCATAGTCCCCCACCTCTGTGAAGAAAGGGAGGACCTACATTTTCTCATCTCTTTTTTGGGCCAGATTTGGCCATTAGAATTATGCAACATTGTTTGTTTCTTTATGTTGTCATTGTTTCCATTTGTGCTACTCATAGACACTGATGTTGATTTTCTGGTTCTGCTTGCTTCATTCTTCATCGGTTCATATAAGTTTTCCTCTGCCAATCTGAATTCTTCATATTCATTCCTTTCTTTCTTTCTTTCTTTCTTTCTTTCTTTCTTTCTTTCTTTCTTTCTTTCTTTCTTTCTTTCTTTCTTTCTTTCTTTCTTTCTTTCTTTCTTTCTTTCTTTCTTTCTTTCTTTCTTTCTTTCTTTCTTTCTTTCTTTCTTTCTTTCCTTCTAGACAATCAAGGTTAAGTGACTTGCCCAAAGTCACATGGCTAGTAAGTGTCCAGTGTCTGAGGCTGGATTTGAACTCAGGTCCTCCTGACTCTAAATCTGGAGCTCTATCCACTGTGCCACCTTGCTGCCCCCCATATTAATTTCTTACCAGACACTATTATCCATTACATTTATATAGCACAATTTAATTAGCCATTCCTCAGTTGATGGGCATTCTTTTTGTTTCCAGTTCTTTACTAAGTCAAAAAGTACTTGCTTTTTCATCTATAAAATAAGATGACTTAGCTCACTAGCCAGTCTCAGTTTCCTCATCTATAAAATGGATATTATAATATTTGTGCTACTCATCTCATAGGCTTGTCAGGAAACCCTTGTAGACTGTGAAACCCTGTGCGTGTGTGTGTGTGTGTGTGTAATTGTTATTATTATTATCCCTGTTGGTCCCTCAATCTTTAATTTGTCAAATAACTTTCAGAAAGAGTTGATTGGGAAAATTAGCCCATAATTTTTGCCTTAGACCCACAGGAGAGAGCAGACAACTCATTCCAAGCTGTCACTTCTCTTTGCCCCCATTGGGAGGGGAAGACATTGGGGAGCAAGGGTTAAAAAGAGAAGGGGCTTTGTCCCCAGGGGAGACAACCAGACCAGAGTTAACCAATGAACAGTTCTACCCTTGTACTTAATTCTCTAGGGTTATGTATTCATTTCCTTACTCCTTATTAGTATGTCAATTCAATTCAACATGTTTATTTAATATCTCCTATCTTCAGTGCCCTCCTCTAGGTGTCAGGGAGACAAAGATTGGAAGGAGGAAGTTCCCTGTCTTCAGGGAACTTACATTCTGTTGATGGGGAGGAAGGGACAGAAATGAAATGTTCACAGATAAGAAAAATCAAGTTATTTTAAGGCCGAAGAGAGTACTAACAACTGAGAGGATTAGAAAAGGTTTTGATTTGGTAAAGTTTTATTGTTTTTTTAAACCCAACTTTGCCCACGTTGGATGAGGGGTGGAGGGGTTTTGGCTGTTCACTTAGGTAAGTTGTTTTGGTGACATCCAGGTATACCAGGAGAGCCAGGGAGGGACAGGAAGCCCTAACCCAGACAGTCTGGGATTCAGTGCCAGTAAATTATCAAGGAACCATCTGGCCTGCTTTTTTCCCAGGCATGTCTTTGTATTTCCTGTGTGATACCCTCAGGCAGCATGGCATAGTACAAAGAGCCATCGGTTTGGGGGTGAGCAGATTTGGGTTCTAGTTATAACTCTTAGTCCCACTTAGCTGTGTGACTTTGAGCAGATCACTTCATCTAAAACTCAATTTCATCATCTGTGAAATAGGGATAAAACAACTCATGAAGTCAGGTTGTTATAACCATGAAAATGCTATGCAAGCATGAGCTGTTATTTGCTGTTCTGGCCAAGGTATAGACAAGCCTTCTTTTTCCCTTAGTTCAGCAGAGACAAAGATGTTTTTCCCCCAGAAAGGGCTTTAGTGAGTAGCTGAGGGGAAAGTGAAACGAAGCCAAATACCAAAGCATAGGAACTTGACAGAGCGAAGAGATCTTATCCTGAATTTCGTAGCTAGCCACAGCTTGGCTTGGCTGGCACTACACACAGCCTACTCCTTTTCTCCATCTTAACTCTGCCTGGGGCTGTTTCCTTACCGCAGCCTTTCCAGATTCCAAGGCCAGGCCCCAGCCTGGGGTTCTCCAGTTAGCCGGACTGCAGGCATCAAGGGAGCCAGGCCGCAGGGTACTGCTCTATGCCGAGGGCTCCCCAGATGTCATTGCCAACGTTTCTGTGTTGCCCAATGCCACCCACGTCACTTTCCGAGGGCTGGTGCCAGGTGCCCAATACCGAGTCGATATTATCTTACCCTCAGGGGTCACCGCTCAGAGCATGGTGGGGCATACCTGTGAGTATCAGGATAAGGTAGTGTCAGAGGGAAGGGTGGCATAATGGGATGGATCATGGTGGCATCTGTGGGTAAGGAAGGGTGGTTGCTCAGTCACGCTGTGTTGTGGGAGGACAGAGATCAGGAACCCAGGCAGTCACTCCCTGAGATGTGCAGAGCGAGAGATCTCAGTGGTTATATGGCCAGTAGATATGTCCAGTCTTCATCATTAGGTCTTACATCCTCGCAGGGCCCTGGGCTCCACAGTCACTGGAAGTCGCAAGCAGGGGCAGCACCTCCAGCCTGGATGTCCGATGGGTATCTCCAGAAGGAAGGAGGGATGGGTACAGGGCTTCCTGGCAGGAAAAAGGGACCCAGAAGACTCTAGGCTTCCTCAGTGTGGGCAGCAAGCAAACTAGTCTGACTCTTACGGGCCTCACCCCTGGTTCCTGCTTCCTCGTGTCAGTTTGGGCCTGGGCTGGGCACCTTAATTCTACCACCCAGAAGGCACATACTTGCACATGTGAGTTCCTAGCTCTTCATTGTCCTGGCTTCTACTATATGATGTCTAGTGTGCTTGCTTTATTTCCTGGCTTTCTGTATGCTCTGTAATAGTGGTGATGGTAAGGAGGCATTCTGTAACTGCTCCTTCTCTGTGTCTGTAGTTCCTGCTACCCCTGCCAACCTGAGCCTGGGAAGTGAAGGCAAACCTTCTACCCTGACTGCCCACTGGAGCCCACCTCCTGGGTCCTTGGATGGCTACCGGTTATGGCTGTACCACCTAGCACCTCTGGGACTGAAGGGAAAAGAAGCACTCTCTTCTGATATTCAGAGCTTCTCCTGGTCCCGGCTACCCCGAGGCGTGGAGTTCATGGTACAACTGGTGGCCCTGCGGGGTGTAGATGAGAGTGACGTTATAAATGCCACAGCCTGGACATGTGAGTGAACTCGGGTGCCCCTATCCTTCCCACCCCAGCTTCCCATCCCTAATCCAGCATTCTTTTTTTATTTTTATTTTTTTATTTTTAGGCAATTGGGGTTAAGTGACTTGCTCAGGGTCACACAGCTAGTAAGTGTCAAGTGTTTGGTCTGAGGCCGGATTTGAACTCAGGCCCTCCTGACTTCAGGGCAGGTGCCCTATCCACTGTCCAGCATTCTTTCTAATCCCCTGGGTACCACACCCCCATCCTAACTACTTGAATTCCTACACCTTCCTATACCTTCTTTGCCATCTGCAAGAGTCCCTGTGGGGCTTCCTGGACATGCTGCATCATTCCTATTGCAGGGCATTGCCCATGGATGCTTACCACACTGGTTATTTCCTAGATCCTGAGGCACCAGTAAACCTGACTCTCTTCAATGTGGGCAGTCCCGAGGTCTCAGCCCTACTTGCGTCCTGGAAACCAAGTGGAGCACAGAGCTTTGAGCTTACTTTGTACCAGCTGCCATTGGGCAATGCCACTCACCGTGTTATCCTCATGGGAAATGTCACCAACTACACCTTCTGGGGGTTGGAGCCAGGAACAGCTTACACTTTGAGGGCTGGTGGCATTGGGGGGCCTTACCAGGCCTGGGCTCCCAACCTCACTTCATGGACTCGTGAGTAGCTATGTTTCTAGACCACTCATTCTGGGGTATGTTGGGAAGTGGAGAGTGATGCTTATTGTGATGGCAGAGAGGCATTGAGGAGATGGAGAGAGTATCATAGAATTTTAGAGCTGGTGGGGGATTTCAGAGGTCGTTCAGTCCATTTCCCCGGTTCTAAGTCAGATGGTTCCTAACCCAACTTAGACTGCTACAGCAAGACTTTGAGTATACTATATATACACACACATACACATATACATATATATACACACATATATGCATTCCTATGGCCAAGTAGGGAACAGGAGAGCAGAGACTGTCCTTCAGCCCCACCGGGACTCTTGTCCCTTTCTGGACCCAACCTGAATCTCATCCCTGAGCAGCTTTTCTGAGCCCTGCTTAATCTAGTTCTAGCCATGATGTGACAAGAAGAACAACAGGCCTGCCGATCACTCTCTTTGCTCAAGTTTCTTCTGACCTTAAGCCGATTTTTTTTTGAGGATTGGGGAGGAGGGGTAGGCTTTTGTGAAGGGGCTCTAAGATCATGGCTTACAACTTCAGTCTCCTTCCCTGCTCTCTGTGGCCTCTGCCCCCATTCTGCTCTCTCCACAGTTCCCTTGGCCCCAGCCATGGTAAATGTGACCAGTGAGGACCCAACCAGGCTACGTGTGTCCTGGGATCAGGCCTCTGGGAGCCTGGATGGCCACCGAGTCACCCTTCGCCAGGAAGGCACTACAGTGAGCACCAGGGCTGTGGGACCTGAGGTGAACAATATCAGTTTTTCCAGTCTGACTCCAGGCACCAAGTACTGGGTGGAGATTGTCTCTTTAGCTGGGCCCCACCATTCTGCAGCAGCCAACGTCACCAGCTGGACCCGTGAGTGGAAGGAATCAGAGATTACGAAGGGGAGGAGGGGAACCACGTCAAGCCAAGTCAACAAGCATTTATTAAGCACTTACTCTATGCTAGGCAGTGTGCTAAGGATACTAAGAAGGGAAACCACAAAGACAGTCCCTGCCCTCAAGAACCTTACATTCTAAGGGGGAAGACAACAAGATATAAACAAAGTAGATGGAAGACGTTCTGAGAGAAGGCAATAGCATGTGGGTCTTGCTGTGCCCAAAGGGCCCCCTGGGTCATTCCTCTCTGCCTAAGTATTTGTCCATATCTCTGGTCTAGTGTGGGAAGTGACCACTACAAGTACTTCCAGTCTGGGTTAGAAAAGGGTGGCTGAGACGGGGATAGGATGCCTTAGTCTCATCTCAAAATTAGTTGTGCCTTTGTTTCTCTTTCTTGCTTGTCTTTCTAAGGTCCCCTAGGGCTGGAGGGAGCTAGAGGCTGCAGTGGACATTGGAGTTCTCAGGGGAGGACCTGGTACCATGACATGTTTGGGTGACCTGCTCTCTCTCTCTCTCTCTCTGCCCACAGCCCCACTGGTGCCCAAAGAGCTGTCAGTGACCATGCAAGGGGCCAGTGCCATGGTGGCTTTGACTTGGGCTGCTGTCCCAAGGGGGCAGGAGGAATGCCAGGCCCAGCTCTTAGAGTCTGGACAGTTATTCCACAGGCAACCTGTGTCCCTGGGCCAAGCCCGCTTCATCCTAAGGGGCCTGACTCCTGGGCATACCTTCTTCTTCTCCGTGCTGTGTCAAGCTGGGCCTCTCCAAGCTTCTACCAGTCCAATAGTGCTGCTCATTGGTAGGTTGTGTATCTTGGCAGCTGGGCAGGGGCAGCTGAGTCCGAGTTAGCACAGATGCCCTATACAGGTTCATGCTAATGCCTCTCAGACTGGCATTGCCCTCTGTGCTCTTCAAGGTAGGCAGTGATGCCCAATTTAGAATTTCTTTCTCTTTGTGGGATGCATCCTTCGATGTGGTAACAGTTATTTAATCTCTCTATTCCTTTTGATGGGAAGATCTATCACCCACCTGCATGTGGACATCCAGTTAGTTCTTTGGGGGATGCTACTTAGGCATCAGTGGCCATAAGATGATGAACATCTGATCCCTACAGAGCCCAGGCCAGTGGAAGATGTGCAGTGCCAATCCGAGGCCACCCACCTGGCACTGAACTGGACAGTACCTGTAGGAGAAGCAGGTACCTGTCTGGTAGTGGCAGAGCAGCTGGGGACTGGGGGGAAAGCACAACCCGTCTTCAGTGCCAACACCTCCCAGAATGCTCTCCGGCTCCCTGGCTTGACACCTGCTGCTTCTTACCGCCTTAGTCTCACCTTGCTGGGGAGAAATGGGCTATGGAGTCAGACGGTCACTGTGCTGTGTACCACTTCTCCAGAAGGTAGGCACACATTGCCTGCACAATCCAGACTCCCTCTCTCTCCCCCCTCCCAGTGCCAGGCCACTGAACATCATCGTAGAAACCAATGGGCGGAAAGGGAACTTTGGAGTCACTTGTCCCATGCAGGATGGAAATTCTAGGGACTAGGTATTACTGTCTTCTCCCTGGCCCTCCTTCTGGGCTCTTGTGTGGTTGGTATAGCAGAAAGAGTGTTGGCTTTGGAGTCAGAGGTTTGGCTACCAGCTATTTTGATTGTCACCTGCTTTACTACAGCCTCCCTAGACCTCCTTTTCCTCATCTGTAAAATTAGGAGCATGGGCTAGATTTTTTTCTTTTTAATATATTTTTATTTATTTCATTTACTTCCCAATTACATGTTATAAATTTAACATTCATTTTAAAAAATTTTGAGTTCCAAATTCTCTCCTTCCCTCTCTTCCACCCCTCCCTCCTCCTTGAGAAGGCAAGCAATTTGATATTAATTATACATGTGAAGTTGTGCAAAACATATTTCCATATTAGCGTGGTCTAGATTTTTTTTTTTAGGCAATTGGGGTTAAGTGACTTGTCCAGGGTCACACAGCTAGCAAGTGTCGAGTGTTTGGGTCTGAGGCTGGATTTGAACTCAGGTCCTCCTGACTTCAGGGCTGCTGCTCTATCCACTGTGCCACCAAGCTGCCCCCAGATTTTTTAAAAAATTAAATTTTATTTTATTTTCAAATGAAAATCCACCTCTTCTGCCCACTTCCTCCTTTCCTTCCCCCACCCCCCCTTGAGAAAACAAGAAAAACAAAAGCCCTATTACAAACATGTATAGTCAAACAAAACAAATTCTGATCTAGATTTTGAAGGTCCCTTATATCTGTAGGGCCTGTGAGCTCAAATTCCTTCCACAGGCTGTCCACCTTTTGTCTTAAGATCCAGCTTTTAAGACCGTTGCCAACAGTTTCCAAGTTAGGCACTCTCTTGGTGTTATTATTCTGTACCCTTCCCCCTCTCTTGAGGTCGGGTCTTGACCATTTCCCACTTCGGCCCTTAGCCTGGCACCCCCCGGAGATGGCAGCTGCCCCTCACTTGGAGTCTGCGGCAGGTGCTGGGGTGGTGATCACACGGGACATGTTTGGTGAGGATAACGGACGGATCCAATGGTATGGTGTTATTGCCACCACCAATGCCTCATGTGAGTGTCTGCGCATGAGGTGGAGCCCTGGAGATGTTGTCTAGCTTTCCGGGGTGGGGTAGGGTCGGTGGGACTGTGATCCCGAGGCAGGGACATGCAGGACGGAAGGAGGGGACTACCCCAAGACCAGGCAAGTCCGTATTTAGACTTAGCGTTCAATGGTGGGTATTAGCAGGCTTGTACTAGGCTGAGGAACCTCAAAGCACAAGTACTAAAGAAATGTGGACATAGCTATGGGAAAGAACGTGAGATATAGGTTGAAGGAGAGGGTCTGAACTCGTAGAGGTGATCAGTCTAGCCACATGCTTGTGTGCTCTTAGACATAGCACGGGGAGTTTCCTTTGGGGGAGAGGAGGTAATAGGTTGAAAAAGGAAAGGTAAGGAGGAGAGGGTCTGTGGAGAGGAAAACAACCCCTTTATGGAAAGTCGTCAGTGTTCCTATGCATTTCCTTGACGCCCTCTTTCTTCCTACTTTCCCGTTTCCCAGTGATACAGCCATCCCAGGAAGCCATCTCCCACACCTGGTATGACCATTACTACAGAGGACTTGATTCTTATTTGGCTGTCTTGCTGCCCTCCCCCTTCCGCCCAGGCCCCTGGGCAATGCCTCGCTCTTGGACAGTGCCTGTGGGCACTGAGGATTGTGGCCAAACCCAGCAAACCTGCAATGGGAAACTCAAGCCAGATGCCCAATATAGGTGAGGGCTGATGCGGAAGGGGCTGGGCGGTCATGGAGAGAGCCTGGTTCAGCCGATTAGGTTGGGCTGATTCACAAACAACACAGGTCTGCCTGTTCTTTGGCCTCTGGAAGTTTGCCAGCTGCTCCTGCCCTCCTGGGAAGAGATGATGGAAAAAAAGTTAGGGGGAGCCTGACCCAAGAAAGCAGAGGACAGGTGGCATCCCATGGCCCTGGGAAATCCCAAGTGCTCAGTTATCTTCTAGTTCAGAGTCTCCTGGTTGGGTAATTCATACTCTCCCCTTGAACCCTGAATGAATCCCCAGGTTCAGTGTTGCAGCCTTTACCAGCTCAGACTCGGTCAATCCTACTGTCTCCTTTACAGCCTTCTCAGGTAAGCAGGAGGTGAGAACATCTTATCTGTTACAGCTGCATTTGACAACTAGGAGAGGGAGGGAAGGCGGGCATTTGTAGATTCTCCTTATGTGGCTCATTTCTAGCACGAGAGTATAAGATTGAGGTTAGAGGCTAGGACGAGCATTTCCCACATATGTTTACTACCAATATGTATTATTACATAGATGAAAGGGTAAAAAGGAAGGGAGGAAGAGAGAGACAGACAGACAGATAAGAGAATGAATAGAGGGAGAAAGAAAAAGAGGTAAAGTTGAGGAAGGCGAAAGAGCAAAAGGGAGATACAGAGAGACAGACAAAAGAGTGAATGGAAGGAGTGAGAAAAATAGAGGGAGAGAGAATGAATGGAGGGAGAAAAGGAGGGGAATGAGGGAAGAAGGGAGGGAGGGGAAGAGAGACTAGTATATTATATGTTTTATTGTATATAATATATATTATACACAAAAAAGTCTTAATATAGTTTTAAACTCTAATAGCTTAAAGAGAGGGAAAGATCAGGAAGGCCAGGTTTCAAATCTTGCAAGTCACTTAACCTCTATGTGGCTTAGTTTCCTCATCCTCAAAATGGTAAAATGGTGATGGTGGTGGGGGCTTGGACTCTATGACCTTGAAGGTCTATTCCAGCTCAAAATCTATCACCTAATGATCCCATGACTATGGTCACTCTCTCCGTATTCCTCCAGGTCTGAGTATTTCATGGTCTCTGAGTGTTCTAGAATCCCTGGCTCAGATGAGACTGTTTACCCTGTTATTTATCTCATGGTTGGTTGCCAGTGAAGGAGAGGGCGTATATTCACGAGTTGAGGACAGGACAGAAGTGAGCTCTTGAGCTCCATTCAGGATGCCGTCTGGCCTCCATTGTAGAGAGGAAGACAGAAAGGAATCTTAGTATCTGGAGCTGGTGGGGTAGGCTGCTTATTAGTTTAAAAGTTTCTGAGCCTCAGGTGTTCGCATGACTCAGATAGGAGGACTTGGGGTCGCCCTCAGGGTGAGCTAGCTGAAAATGCCTTGATTTTGGTGGTTGGCTGAGTATACCATCTTAGGCAGCTTCATCCTTTCCTTCATCCTCCCCAGAGCCTCGGGCCAGTGTCTCAGGGGCATCGATGCCACTCCTGGTAGCATCAGGCATTGTATCAGGTTGCCTCTTTACCCTGGGTGCCGTGCTAGGCCTGCTGTGCTGCAGACGTATGCGGGTTAAAAGGTAGGCCTTGCGGCAGAGGGTGCGGAAGGGGAGACGGGTAGAGGGGCTCCCCATGGACTCCAACTGTAGTTCCAGAGATCGAGGACTTGGTGATGGGTGTTGGGATCAGGTGGTTGAAGAAGAATGAAATCTCCTTTAGTGGGGTGGGTGTTACTCCAGCTGTCTGGTCTTTTCTCAGCTGACTTCCTTTTTTAGGGCAGAAAAGAATTATTTCTCCCAAGAGATGACACCCTACACCCAAACGTAAGTGTTATTTCCTGGTCCCCTGCTCCCTGGGTGAGGCTGAGATTTCCAGATAAGCCTGCCTGGATGGATGAAGTATCTTATTTAATTCTTATGGAGAAGATGAAGAGATGTGAGATAGACCACAGGATCACAGCTTCAGAGCTGAAAGAGACCTTAGAGGTCGTTGAGTCCAATCTCCTCATTTGATAGATGAGGAGACTCAGAGTAATTACATGACTAGCCTGTGGTCATATAACTAGGAAGAACCAGAGTTGGGATTTGAATTCAGATCTTTCCCAATGACAAGTCCAGTGCTCTATCCACACCACTTTTGGATGGATTCATAACTGATTGAATATTCACACTCAAAGAGCAGTCATTAGGAATTCCACGTCAACTTAGAAGAACCACCGTGGAGTTCACCATGGATCTGTATTAGACCTTTTCCTGCTTGTTTAGTCTTTCCATCAGTGACTTGGAGAAAGGCATACGAGAGATCCTCATCTCATTTGTGGATGACACAAAGTTGGGAGAGATAATTAATATGTTAGATGTTAGAGTTTAAAGATCCCCAAAGATCTTGGGCTGAATTGAATAAGGTGAAATGTAAAAGAGAGAAAGGTAAAGTCTTCTACTTAGGTTCAAAAAAACAACTTCACAAATTCAATGGCAATTTATCTGAAAATGATTGAGGGCTTTGGTGGACTGCCAATTCAATACAAGTAGGACAAAAATGTTTGGTAGGACAGAAGAAAACACATTAATGCAAAGGAAAAGACATTTATTTCATCAAACAGCAGGGCAAGATAAGAGATAAGAAAGACTCCTCCCATACACATGGAAGCATATCCTCCGTCACATTATTGAACATGGGTAGAAGAACCCAGATGGCCACTGGATACAAGTGCTTAGGGCAATTCACAATTCAATTCCAGGAGGCCGCTTAATATCCTCAAGGGATCCCATCCATCCAGCTAGACGTCCCTCCTGAATGATTACTGCTCTCCGTTGCCATCTTCTGGTCTTCAGCTTTGAGTTTGCTTGCCCCACCTTTGAAGAGAGGATTTTTGGCAGCTCTTTTAACTCAAAATCCAAGTGGTTCTCTTGCATCTTTTGTGATGTAGACCTCATCAAACTATACCCATCCTTGACTTAGGGAAGTTCTTGGGCATTTTTTCTGGATTTTAATTTTAATTTCTTGTCATAAACTTGACAAACATCGACAAATAGGAACATTTATTCCCCTATGTAAAGAATAGAAAGAGGGTTGTATGTGTAACTGTGAATGTCTTTTACATGAAACTTATTTAAAATAGCACATTAGTTCTAAAGCTGTCCTGCTTGTTTGTGTCTCTCTCTCTGAACTTCTGTTCTTTTGTGCATGAAGAAAATGTTTCATTGACCCACTCTTTTTCTTTTTTAGCATCATTATCATTAACCCTTCTCCCCTCCCATAAGTCTTCTCCCTTCCCCCTCCAGAAAAAGCTCTCTGTTGTAAAAGTTAACATTGACAAGCAAAACAAATCCATAGACTGGCCCGTATTTGAAAATATGTGTCTCATTCTGTACCTTGGGTCCATCGCTTTTCTGTCAAGAGGTGGGTAGCTTGCTTTGTCTTCTCTCTTCTGAAATCACTCTTAGTCACTGGATTGAGCACAGCTCTTAAATCTTAAAGTCTTCAGAGTTCTTGTCTTAAAGTTGTTTCTCTTTACAATATCATAGTCATGTAAATTGTTCTCCTGATTCTGCTCACTCCCCTCTGCATTAGTTCATGTAAGTTTCCCCAGATTTCTCTAAATCCATCCCTTTAGTCATGTCTTATAATACAATAATATTCCATTACATTCACATACCATTCTTTGTCCAACCATCCCCCAATTAATAGTCACTCCTTTAATTTCCAGTATTTTTCTACAATAAAAAGTCCTCCTAATGAATGTTTTTTGTGTATAGATCCTTTCCCTCTTTCTTTGATCTCTTTGGGCTATATTCCTAGTAGTGGTGTCACTGGGTCTAAGGGTATCACAGTTGAGTGATTTCTTGATTATAGTTTTGAAATGGTCCTACCCATTAGCACCTACCCTCCCATGTGCTCTCCGAAAACTATTTTCTTTTTTCATCATCTTTGTCAATCTGATGGGCAAGAGGGGGATCTTCAGAGTTGTTTTAATTTGCAGCTCTTTTATTAATGATTTAGAGCATTTTTATATGGTTCTTTAAAACTTGCATTTCTTCTGTTGAGAAATGCTTGTTCATATCCTTTGACCATTCATCTACTGGAGAATGATTCTTGTTCTTATAGATCTGAATCAATTCTTTCAGTATCTTGAATATAAGACCTTTATCAGAGAAATTTGATGCAAAGGATTTCCTAATTAACAGAGTACTTTTAATTTTTACTTTCTTGATTTTGTTAAAATTTTTTTTCTATTTTAAGTAATCAAGACTGCCTAATTTATCTCCTGTGATCCTCCCTATCTCTGGTTTGATCAAGAACTCTTCCCTTAAACAGCTAGATAGTATAATGGTTAGAGCACTGGGCCTGAAGTCAGAGAGACATGAGTTCAAATTTGACTTCAGACTAGAGTCCAGAGTTATGTGGCCTTGAGTGAAAGTCACTTAACTTCTGCCTACCTCAGTTTCCTCAACTGTAAAATGGTGATTATAATAGCACCTACCTCCTAGGATTGTTGTGAGGCTCAAATGAGATATATTTTTAAAGTGCTTAGCATAGTTCCTGGCACATAGTAAGTGCTTAATAAATCCTTCTTTCCTTCCTTCTTTCCTTCCTTCCTCCTCTCCATTCATCCCTCCCTTCCTTCCTTCTCTCCTCCCATCCTTTCTTCCTTCTCTCCTTCCTTCTTTTGTTCTCTCCTTCCTTCTTCCTTTCCCTTCTTCCCTCCCTCCCTCCGTCCCTCCCTCCCTCCTTTCCTCCTTCCTTCCCCTTCTTCCTTTTCTCCTCTCCTTTACTCCTTCCCCACAAGATTGGGAGTGCCCTAACAACAGGGACCAAGTAGTTTCCTTATTTAGGATTCTAATCTTCTCCTAGTGTCCAGGATAGGCCCTTGCAGGGTAGCCATGTGGTTGACTGACTGATTCCCCCTGCCCTCAGGAACATCCACCGGCCAATTCTCAGGCAGAACTTCCGACAGAGCTATGAGGCCAAGAAAGTCAATTCCCATTATGATTTCTTCCGGGAGTTTGAGGTAAGGCCCCTACTCTGCTCAGAGCCTCATGACAGCTCACAGTCCCAGGTGGGAGGACAGGCTCACCCCCTCCTTCCCCACAACCCTTTTCTGAAGGATAAGGTAAGGCAATGCCTGGTTCAGCTCATTGACCACCTGTTATCCATAGGAGCTAAAGGAAGTTGGCAAGGAGCTGCCCAAAGTGGAGGCAGAGAACCCTGCTAATGCCATCAAGAATCGCTACCCACATGTGCTTCCCTGTGAGTGCCAGGCAGGAGTTAGAAGTGCTCAAGGGGGAGCGGCTAAAAGGCTTGGGATGGCATCTGAAGTTGAGGATGGCAAAGGGGTGAAGTGGGTGGGCTCATTATCCTATCACTAAATGTCCAAAATTTGCCCCCTTAGATGATCATTCTCGAGTGAGGCTGACTTTTCTGGATGATGAGCCTCATTCTGACTACATCAATGCCAACTTCATCCCGGTTAGCGCTTTCTGTCCGTCTGCCTGTGTGGCAGGTCCATCTGTGAGGGCTCCTGTCCCTGCAGCATGCCTGATGGACTTGTCTTTGTTGAGATAGGCTTCTCTGCTTATGGGAATTTGTGGATTGTGTGATTTGGTTGCCTATATTCAATTGAATATTTTTATCCATGTGGCATATTCCTATGTCTGCCTATATTATTTATATGCATGTCCTGGTGTCACATATTTGTACTCTGATTATCTGTGGGGTGTTCCTGTCCTTGCTATTACCCTATCATGAATGATGCCCATTCTGTCCCAATGGGATATAAATGAAAGTATGTATGTGGGTGTCTATGAAGCCAGCCTTCCAGGTTTGAGCCTTGTGGTTATATACATACATGCATTTGTATGTATGTATATGCATACACATACATATATCTATATATTCATGTCTTCACATATTCACACACACATATACATAAATGCTATTGGGGGATCCACGTGGGGATGTCCATGTTGTATTTATGGGGGGTTCACCATAAGGATGGCATTTATACCCCCTTGCCTGTGTTCATGCGGCTCTGTCCTCTCCCCTCAGGGTTATACCCGACCACAGGAGTTCATTGCCACTCAGGGCCCACTCAAGAAGACAATGGAAGATTTCTGGCGGTTGGTGTGGGAGCAGCAGGTCCACACAATCGTCATGTTGACTGTGGGCATGGAGAATGGGCGGGTAAGTAGGCATACCTTGTAGTTGCCTGAAATTACCACTGGGTGTCAGCACAGATACCTTTCTCTTAATAAGCCTGACCTATATATCATGCCTGTGGATGGAAGTCCTTCTCCACAGGACTTCCCTATGGCCAGGGTAGAGGAGACAGGGACGTGGGGCAAGTCTCCCCACTTCATGGAATGGAAAGACTGAGGCTCAAAGAAGGACAAGGTCTTCCCTGAAGCTTCCCAGAAAGTCTGGAAGTAGGTCCCAGAGATCCTCATTTCCAGATTGATGCTCTCCAGCCACCCCCTTTTACCTCTCCCCATGTTCTTTTTATCCACATCATCTCTACTTTTGGGCACAAAAGGGGCAGAGAAGGCAGACAGGGAGGGAGAAATAGAGGATCGGTATAGAGAGAGTGACTAAGGGAATAGCTTGATTCATTCTTAGAATCCTAGAATGTCAAAGTCAGAAGTGGCCTTAGAGACCATTTAATTTCCCCCTTCTCCCACCATTTTAGAGGAGTAAACTGAGAACCAGAGACACGAAATGGCTTTTCTTAGACCACCCAGCTAGTCAATGGTAGAACCCAGGTCTCTTGCCTCACTTACTAAGCTGCCTCTCACTTAGTCAACAGTGTTGAAAAGTCATGTTTCGAGTCCCTCAAGTTTCCCAGTCTCCATACCAAACACTCCTGATTCTTTTAACCAGTCCTTATGTGGAAGAGCTGTTAGATGACGCCTTGGATGAGTAGGATTTTACAGTGAGAAAAACTCTGGATATGGAGTCAGGGGACCTGAATTTGAATCCCAGTCAGACAAGGCAACAGACATTCATTAAGGGTGTACTATGTACTAGGCACTGTGCTAAGCCCTGGGGATAGAAAGAAAGGCAAAAACACAGTTCCTGCCCCCAGTGAGCTCATGTTCTAATGTGGTAAACAACATACAAAAACTTGAATGTGCCAGATCTATCCAGAAAAATGGAAGGTCCCAGCAGTGGAGCACTGGCCAGGGGAGCTGGGAAAGGCCTCCTACAGAAAGTGGGATTTGAGCTGAGTCTTGAAGGAAGCCAGGGAAGTCAGTAGGCAGAGGAGAGGAGAGACAGAGAGAGCATTGCAGGCTTGGGAATGACTAGTAAAAAGGCAGAGAGGAGGAAGATGAAGTGTGATGGCCCAGCAAGGGCAAGTATGTGAATGGATTGTCCAGTACATGGAGGAAAGACTGGAAAAATAGGAAAGGTACAGGTTGTGAAGGGCTTTAAAAGCCAAACAGAGGATTTTCTACTTGATCCTAGAGGTAATAGGGAGTTAATTTGGTATTTATTGAGTAGGGGAATGGCATGGTCAGAACTGTACTTTAAGAAAATCCCTTTGGCAGCTGAGTGGAGATAAGGAGAGTTGCAGGCTGTTGTGACAGTCCAGGAAGGAGTTGATGAGGAGCTGCATCAGGGTGGTGGCAGTGTTGAAGGAGAGAAGGGGGCACATAGGAGCAATGTTGTGAAGGTAGAAATGCAAGATTTGGCAAAAGATTGGGTATCTGGGGAGAGTACAGGTGAGGAGTTGAGAATGACACCCAAGTTTGTGAGTCTGGCTAACTGGGAAGATGGTGGTTCCTTCCCCATAAGAGGGATGTTTGGAAGAGGGGAGGGTTATTTTGGGAAGACTAAATCCTGTTTTGGACACGTTAAGTTTGAGATATCTTCTAGGTAGTTGGCAATACGAGACTGGAGCAGAGAGCAGTTAGCTTGTCTGTATAGTCTGAGTAGGAATCGTCTATGTAGAAGTGATTATTCAACCTATGGCATCCAACGATATCACTAATCAAGATGTCATAGAAAGAGAAGAAGAGAGGACCCAGGACAGATCTTTGGGGAGTACCCAGAATTAATGGGCTTGACCTGGATGAAGATCCAGCAAAGGAAACGGAGAAGGAGAAGTTGGGTAGGTAGAAGGAGAAATAGAATACAGGAGTGTCACGAAAACCCAGGGAGGAGAGAGTATGCAGCAGAAGAGGGGGACCAACATGCCAAAGGCTACCAAGAGGTCAAGAAGGATGAAAATTTAGAAAAGGCCACTGGATTTGGCAATTGGGAGATCAGCCCTGCTCCTTCCTGTCTGTGATGTTGTGTGACTGTATGGTCAGATTACTTAAAATCACTTAACCTCAGTTTCCTCATCAGTAAAATCATGGATATGGGCCACTTGGTTTTCTAGGACCACTTCTGGGATGAATCTTTGGTCATAGATGTTTGATAGGTGAAAAGAGATGAGGAAGGGCCTTTTAGGGAGAAGGCACAGCGTGGGCAAAGGGGTGGAGGGCTAGTCCTTTTTGGCAAGAGTGATAGAGATCTGGGAGATTGGAGGAAGGGTGATAGGTGGGGAGTGATTGGGTCCTTACTGCCATCCTTCAGTTTTTCCTCCTCCTTCATGTCTCCTTTGTTTCCTAGGTCCTGTGTGAGCATTACTGGCCAGTAGACTCCAAACCGGTCACTTATGGCCAGATCATCGTCCGCCTCGTGGCAGAGGAGAAAGGAGAAGACTGGACATGCAGGGAATTCCAGGTGCAACATGTGAGTGTCCCCCAGGGCAGGGTTGTGTGTGAGGGAGGAGGGGACTAATTACGAGTAGAATAATAAGGGGTCCCCTCCTTTTGAGGATCTCAAAGCACCTTGCTGCTTTATGTATGCCCCTTACATCCCTGGGAGGGGAGCAGGAGGAGCACGGAGGCCCCATTTGACCTCATTTTCTTCTCTGAATTTTGACACTGGATAAAAAATTAAACCAAGAATCAGGAAGACCTGAGTTCAGAACCTGCCTCAAACACATACTAGCTGTGTGATCCTGGGCTAGTCAATCTCTCACAAAATCAGTCTCCTCCTCTGTAAAAAGGGGATAACAATAGTACCTACCTCACAAGACTGTTGTGAGGTTCAAATGAGATAACACGTGTAAAGTGCTTTACAAGCTTTAAGGAATTACGATTAAATAAATTATATGCTATTTTTAGAGACACCCCTCTTCCCAGAGTCTTGGCGCTCTCTGGGTACTGCACACAGAAGCTTTCCAAGACCTGTGGTGAATGTCGAATAGGATAGGTGCTAGAGTGGACCGGAAGTCAAAGGAAGAAGAAACACAGAGCTTGCTCTCGGGGAGTTCCCTGTCTCCTGGGGAAAGATGTAAAGGATCGTTATTGGAATAGGTCTAGGGGACTGGCCCTTGACCCCATATTTTCTTCTTTTGGTCTCAAAGCCAAACTGAGCTCTAAAGCCCAAGGAGAAGCCCTGAGATTCCTGAACTTCTTGGTCCCTAAGCCCCCTGGCACCCTGGGTTTAGTGAACTAACTACCAGATGCTTAGTCACTGCTCCCACCTCCCACCTCCATCCCTCTTTTCTCATTGCCTCAGTATCTTGGTTTTCAGTTCTAGCATCCGTCCCTCACAGTGCCTGGCACCCAGGAAGCACTTTTTCCTCCCGAAGGAAGAAAGGGGGAAACTCTCCTAAAAGATATTTTAGTCGAGCCTTATGCCCAGAAAAAGGAATAATTCAACTGGACATACTCAGTTTACTCACATACACTTCACAAAAGACCATCCTTTTCAGTACAGGAGGTGCATGTGCCAGACCTTGGCAGGGGTAGGATGGGGATGGGGGATGGTACTCTTCTTCCTCATCTGCTTTCTCCTCTTGCCTCCTCCCTCATATTTGTCTAGCACCTCAAGGTTTGAAAAGCACTATAATAATAATAGTCATCACCTGAAGTTTTTTGCAAAATATTTATTGTTATTAATAATAATAATAATAGCTAGCATTTATCTTTAGCTTTAAGGTTTGCAAAACAATAAAAATAGCTAGCATTTATCTAGCCCTAAGATTTGGGGCAGCTAGGTGGAGTAGCAGATGGAGTGCTAGGCCTGGAGTCAGGAAGCCTGAGTTCAAATCTGACCTCAGACACTTACTAGCTGTGTGACCCTAGGCAAGTCACTTAACTCTGTTTGCCTCAGTTTCCTCATCTGTAAAATGAGCTAGAGAAAGAAAGGCAAACCACTCTAATATCTTTACTAAGAAAACCTCAAATGGGGTCATGAAGAGTTGGACATGACTAAAATGACTGAACAATAACAAAAGATTTTGTGTATTTGATTCGCACAACAATCTGGTGAAGTAGGTGTTATTATTCACATCTTATTTTTATTTTTTGCCTTTTTTTTTTTTGGTGAGGCAATGGGGGTTAAGTGACTTGCCCAGGGTCACACAGCTGCTAAGTATCAAGTGTCTACGGCCATATTTCAGCTCAAGTCCTCCTGACTCCAAGGCCAGAGCTCTATCTACTGTGCCACCTAGCTGCCCCTATTCCCATATTACAGATAGGAAACTGAGACAGACCAAAGTTAAGTGATTTGTCCAGGGTCACACAGCTAATGGTTGGATTTGAACTCAGATCTTTCTGACTCCAAGTTTGGAGTTATTAGCCAACGAACATTGTGGCAGCCATCTGTGTACCATTTTGCATATCATGTCTCTTTTGATCCTTACAATAACCAAGTGAGGGAGGGTAAATAAAACGAATGAAATTGGGTGGAATTAGGGAACATTTCTTGGAAGAGGTGAAATTTGAAAAACAGAGCTGAGAGAAGACATTTCTATGGGCTTGGACAGGTTTGAAAATTGTGCTCATTATGGATTGATTACTGTTCACTATAGACTTTGAGACCTCAGTATAATACACATTATGTAAAATAAAGAACTACCAAAGAGCAGAATTTTCTGTCATTTAAAATATATGTAAAAGAGAAATGCCCATGATTGTCCTTCCCTGAATATTGTGCCTTTGGCATCTGTCTGCTTTGCCCCCTGCCCCAAGTCCCATCCCCATCCTGCGAATCTCAGCTCTGATGATCAGTATTTAGGAAGGGCATTGAGGGAGACTCATTCACCCTTTCCAGATGCTCTGCCTTTGTCTCCTCATCTTTATGGGCAGGGGAATTAGCCTGGAGACAGCCAGTGGCTGAAGGCTTCCCAAGTTTAGGTGAATGGCCCAAGCCTGGCCCTACCCTCAGTGAGAGGCAGGTTTCACCTCGGCTTCCAACTCAGGCCAAGTTCAGGTTTCAACCTTTCCCTGGGGAGCAGTAGGAAAAAGAAAGAGCCATCCCCCCCACCTGCTCAGGGCTCCCAGGAGCAGGAACGCAGGATCGAGCAGCTGCAGTTCTTAGCCTGGCCAGACCATGGTGTTCCTGAGGCCCCCAGTTCTTTGGTCAGCTTTGCAGAGTTGGTACAGGAGCGAATTCAGGCTGCACCTAGCACGGCACCCACCTTGGTGCACTGCAGGTGAGTGACGGGAAGAAGAGGAGCTGCCTCTGATGGGAAGAGGCTGGAGGCCTATGGAGGCATATTCACTTCTGTCCTTCGCCCAGATCAGCCTCCTTGTCACCATCCCTGATCTCCCTCAGTGGCTCTCCAAGGTCCCCTCCTCACCATATGTCTTCCCAGTCCCTACCTACGACCCTAGCATCTCCAGGTCCCCAGCTCTCCTCCCCAGTGCCTCCTCACTTCCCACCCCACTTCCTCTAGTCCCCAGCCCTTATTATAGCATCCCTGCCTCTTTCTGCCCTTCATCCCCACTGTCCCCCCACCAATCATTCTACAAATTTCTTTCTCCTATTATACTTTGGACACCGTGGTAGGTGCTGTGTGTTTGAGTGAACGTTGTATGTGTGTATGGGAGGAGTTGTACAAAGCCAAATAAGACCCGTATTCCCTGTCCTTACCCTGGCCTCCATTCTTCTCCTCCCAGTGCCCTTTTCCTATTTGCCCCCTTTGCCCCTCTTACCTCCTGTTAAGTCAGACTAGGCCAGCCCATTGGGCAGGCCACTAGAGGCCTGGGGCCCTGAGGAGGGATTGGGGCTCTGCTCACCTGGGACTCCCCTCAGCGCCGGTGTGGGCCGAACTGGCACTTTTGTGGCCCTGGTTCGGCTCCTACAACAGCTACAAGAGGAACAGATGGTGGATGTGTTGCACACGGTGTATACCCTGCGGCAAAGTCGGCCCCTCATGATCCAAACCCTGGTGAGCCTGGGCTGCTGAGGGAAGGAGGCAGAGGGAGGGTGGGGGGAGAGGAAAGGCAAATGGCTGCTGCAGTGGACAGGCTTGAGGGTGCTCAAGTGATCACCCCAGGAAAGTCTTAGTGAATTTTGAGGTGGGCAGAATCATCTGATTTTATTTTATTTACTGGTAACTTTCAATAATTTTCCAATATTAAAAAAAATTAAATACTATTTTTTTCAAATTAGCAAAAATCCATTATATCTTTTTCCTACCTTTCCTTCCTTGAAGAAAAAGAAAAATGAAACCCTCGTAACAAATACACATAGACAAGTAAAACAAGTCCCCCTGTTGGTTGCGTCCAAAAAATTGTCTTAATGTGCACCTTGAGTCTATCACCTTTCTGTCAGGAGGCTTTCCAAATATTTACTAAGTGTCTAATATGGGTCTAATAAGCATCTAATATGTTAGGCCTGGTTCTACAAAGGCTCATTATAGTCCTCAGGACATAAAAACCCCAGGAGTTAGAAGGCCCACATTCTAATCCTACCCCTGATTACCAGCCTTGTGGCTTTGGACCTCAGTTTCCTCATTTGTAAAACATTGACATTTGTAGGATCAGAGATATAGAGCTGGAAAGGATCTCAGAAGCCAGCTAAGTCCATCTTCCCCCCTAAAACTAAAGTGCAGGGGGGTTAAGTGATTTGGCTGAAGTTAGCTTTGGGCCCGGGGCCTTTAATTCTAGACTCTTTGCACAGACCAGCAGGTCCCTAAAGTTCCTTCCAGATCTAACATTCAGATTTCCGTAGGTCACCGAGGATGTGCCCAATTCCCTTCTCCCTCTCCCTGAGGTTCTCCCTCCCCCCAACCCTGCTAATTGTCCCACCTGGAAAATCACTAGCTTGGACTCTCCTGTCACCAGGCCCAGTACATCTTTCTGCACAGCTGTCTGCTGGAGAAGATTATGGAGGAGCCAGCTGGGTCTCTTGTGTAAGTGCTGACCCTTCTTCTTCTCCTAGCGCTCTCTGGCTGAGGGGGAGGTGCCCAGGGGGGTGCTGGGACAGAGGAAGCTTCCCACTCTGTTCCTCCATTGGGCTGCCCTGCTGAAGGCAAAGTGGCCCTAGCCAGCATCTTACTGTATTCCCCTCTTCCCCTAGCTCCCGGCCCATCAATGTGAAGAACTTCTCACAGAAGCATGCCAAGAAGTTGGCCAACTCCAACGCTGGCTTCCTAAGGGAATATGAAGTGAGATTTGGGTATCCCTGGCCCTCCCTCAGCCACATGCTGGTGCCATTCCCCAAGAGCATCTCTTACTATCCATCCGTGTTGGTGGTTATGGTGCCATTGGCGACATGAGCCTGTGCCCTTTGCCTTTCTCCCCAGCTCCTTCTGGAAGCCATCAAGGACCAGGGTAAAGCCCGACATCCGGTGGGCAGTACCTTCTCCCTTCTCCTTCCCTGTGAGTCAAAGGGGTTATGCTTCTGAGAAAAGGGGACCCATCCCTGATTGCAGGGTGTGAACTGTTCGTGTTATTAGTGTGGCTATAAAGTGCTAGCCAAGAGGGGATCGTTCCCTTCTGTATAAACCAGGGGTGGAGAACCCATCTGAAAATGATTCCTGACTTTGAGACCCCAGGGAACTGGGAGAGGCACCATCAACTGGGCCTGGAGAATTGGAATGTATTCATCGGACTCTAGTGAGGTATCAGTTTAACCTCAGCTTCAAATACTCTGAGGCCTGCCCTTTACCAGCTAGCTGCAGGAGTTGGGTGGGGGATGCCCTATGTTACTGGGTGGGCGGGGCATCAATTTTGATTCCCCCCCTTGCAGAAAGGCAGTTTGTTCCTTTAGCTGGGGCAGGAACCATCGCAAAGGAGACATGGGGCTAAAAAAAATGGGACTGGGTGTGGTAAGTCAGTGCAGTCCGTTGAACTGAGTTAGAGTTACTTCATGCTGAGTCTCAGTTTCCTCATCTGTGGAATGAAGACATTGTACTAGAGATGACTGAAGACCCTTTCTACCTCTAACATTCTGTGAGCTTAGCTAAAGGGGAAAGAGCCAAGCTTTACTTAAGGGAAGGACCAGCCTGACTTCCTACACTAAGCATGATCCTTGAGCTAGGTTGGCTGAGAACAGAACTCTGGAGCCAGAAGACAGACAGAGTTAAACAGATTTGTTGTTGTTGAATTGTTTCAGTCATATCTGACTCTTTGTGACCCCATTAGCAGTTTTTTTTTCTTTTCTTTTTTTGAACCATTTGGGGCTAAGTGACTTGCCTAGAGTCACACAGCTAGGAAATGTCAAGAGGTGTCTGGTCTGAGATCAGATTTTAACTCAGATCCTCCTGATTCCACGGCCGGTGCTCTATCCACTGAGCCACCTAGCTGCCCCCCAATTGGGGTTTGCTTGGTGAAGATACTGGAGTGGTTTGCCATTCCCTTCTTTAACTCATTTTACACATGAGGAAACTGAGGCAAACAGCATGAACTGACTTATTCAGGGTCATACAGCTAGTAAGCCTCTGAGGTCACATTTGAACTCAGGTCTTCCTTACTCCAGGCCTGGCATTCTATCCACCATGCCACCTAGCTGCAGGACTTTCTTAATGATAACATCTCTCACTTATACAGCTCTTTACACTTCATAAACTCTCTTACATATGTTATCTTTTTTGATCCTCTCAGCACAAGGCCTGAGATTTCATCTATGTGGGTATTTTCTCTACTAATACAGATAACAACCTTCTCCAGGGACGTGAATCATTTTGGCCAAAAATGTTTATCACTAGATAGCCAATCCACTGGTGATTAGCTTCTTCCACATTGAGCCAACCTGTCTTCCTTTCTCCATCCCTCTCTCTCTCTCTTTCTTCCTCCCTTCCTCCCTCCCTCCCTCCCTTCCTCCCTCCCTCCCTCCCTTCCTCCCTTCTTCCCTTCCTTCCTTCCTTCCTTCCTTCCTTCCTTCCTTCCTTCCTTCCTTCCTTCCTTCCTTCCTTCCTCCCTTCCTTCCTTCCTTCCTCCCTCCCTCCCTCCCTTCCTCCCTTCTTCCCTTGCTTCCTTCCTTCCTTCCTTCCTTCCTTCCTTCCTTCCTTCCTTCCTTCCTTCCTTCCTTCCTTCCTTCCTTCCTCCTCCTTCCTCCCTCCTTCCTCCCTCCTTCCTCCCTTTCCTCCCTTCATTCCCTTCCTCCTGCTTTCCCTCCTTCCCTGTCTGGAAGTATAGCAGCTGCTCACAGGCTTGCCCCCAACGCTGATCAGCCTGGAAGCGTTCACACCCGCATTTCCAACCTCTGCTGATTTGCCCCTCCTTAAATCACCTGTTGGCTCCCTGTTCCCATGTTACTTATTGTTCTGGTGCCAGACTTCATGCTGATACTCAATTGGCTTAACTAATTGTAACTCAAGCAGTCCATCAGCCTCAGCCTCTTCTAGTAGCAGGGATTAAGGCATGTACCACCATATCCAACCACTTTAGACTTTTAAAGCCTCTGTTTCCTCATCTGTAAAATGGGATCAGAAATGCCTACAGTAAGTACCTACCTCACAGGGATATTGTGAAGTTCGAAGGGAACAACTTATTTAAAGCTCTTTGCAAACTTGAAATATAAATGTCCATTATTATTGTTATTGTTGTCTTCTTATGTTATATTTGATGTAGTTCACTCAGAGTAATCCTGGGACAGATCGCTACCTTACCATTTTGTGTTTAATGTTTGCCAGGTTACTTTACAGGGGGAGGAATGGTTGTTTTTTGTAACTGAATAAGTTTGGGGATATACATTCATCTTCTGGGGACTCACTGAAAGCATCTCGGAGACAGTTCTAGTGGGGACAGGGTGACTGGACTGACATGGCCTTGGTTTCTTTCCCACAGGCTCTTGACTTCAGCCAGATTTCTGTGTTTGGAGAGCTTTTCCTCTCCCATCAATAGGAGACTAGGTGCATTCAGTATGTCTGCGTTCTTGTGCGTCCATGTTATTCAGGAGGTTGTGGGGAGCAGTTTTGTCTGTCATGATGCTCCAGGGGTGAGACTGAGGCAGATAGAAGGCTCAGTGGATAGAGCACTGGGCCTGCAGTCAGGAAGACCTGAGTTCAAATTCAGCCTCAGACTACCCATGTGTCTCTGTTTGCCTTAAACTACTGGAGAAGGAAATGGCAAACCACTCCAGTGCCCTTGCCAAGAAAAGCCCATAGAGGGTCACAAAGAGTCTGACACAGCATGAGGTGAGATCTCAAAGATATTTTGAAGTTTGGGCCTGTTGTATGAGGTTTGGTGTCTATTAGTTCATGAAGGATAGCAAGTTTCTGGTGTGTAATTCTGGCCACTTAGATTGCCTCTTTCTAGGTATTATAGGTGTAGGTGCTCAATTTTGCAACCTGGAATGATAGCACAGTTTCCATCGTTTCTTTGTAAAATCTATTCTTGTTAGCTGGACTTGGTCATCAGATGACAAAACGCCTCCCAGATCCATGCTCGAAGGTGAGCATTCCCAGTTTGGTAGGACCAAGGACCAGGTTCCCATCAGCACTGTGAGAACTGAGGGTCACTTTACACACTACGATGAAGTATTGGGGGAAAGCACTGAAGGAGTACAGACTGTATGATTTTTATTTTATAGATAAGGAAACTGAGGCTGAGGAAGCAAAGTGACTTGTTTGAGTGAAGTCACATAGTTAGTAAATAGGAAAGCTGGGTATGAATTCAGGCCTTGTCTCTTTCTGATGCCGCATTGACTTGGCTTGGTTGAGTTCTCCCTGCCTCAGTGAGCTTGGGGAGTTACAGGCTCCTAACCATCATTTCTCCTTCTTCTTCACAGATGAGCATAGGAGAGTGGAGCAGAGTCCCACTGACTCTCTTCAGCCCTGGTTCTTTCCAGTGAGATGTTGCCCTGTGTCTTCCCTCGCTCTTGACCCTTGCCCCCTTTCCTCTCTCCTCCTTCCTTGCTCCTATGTTGCATTTTCAGGGTTCATGATTGGGGGTGGGGAGGCAGGGGTACCCAAGGTTGTTGAGGTACCTTGGTATAAGATTGGCAGTTTCTTGGGAGTGCCAGGAATAGCCTCAGTCAGCTTCTCCCACAGGGGAAATCTTCCATCCCAGACCAAGTAGCACTGGCAGGTCCTGCAAAGGCAGAAGAGTTCTGGCAGTTGGTGTGGAAGCATGGTGCCCATGTTCTAGTCTCCTTGCGCCCTCTGGATACTCAGAATGAGGTGAGGGGCTTGGTGGGGAAAGCAGAAGGAAGGGTGGTACCGTGGTGGAGGTTGGGGGCAAGGGACCCAGGTTAGCAGGGGCCGGGGTAGCAGGCATTAGGCAACCCCATGAGTGGGCACTGGGGTGGCACTATATATGCAGGAATGGTGCCCGGCGTTGGAGCAGCCCATCTGCACCAAGACGTTGACTGTCCGCTGTGTGGTACAGAGTGACATGGCAGGATGGTTTTGTCTTCATCTGAACATCAAACATGTAAGTACCTGAACAATGGGGATGAAGTGAGGATCAACCTGGGGGATCCAGGAGGAGGAGGCAGCCCAGATCTGGCTCCCAAACTTGCTCTTCTGGAATTACCCACAGTGGGGAAGGAGGGAAGGAAGGAGAGGCCTCTAGTTGATGGTGTGGCCCATCACATTCTGCCTTCCCCCCCTGCCCCACTCCCTTGGGTCCCCAGGAAAAGAAAGAAAAGGAACTCGGGGTGCGACTGCTACAGTTCCCAAGCTGGGAAAGTGGGCAAGAGCCTCCAGCCCAGGTCCTGTTGTCCTTCCTGGCAGCTGTGGATCAGTGCTACCCACAGGTCAACAGAAAGAAGCCAAAAACAATACTTGTTTACTCCAGGTACCAAAGAGAAACAACAGGGTGTATGGGGGAAGGGTGGGAAGGGAGATGGTAGGTCTTCTTCCTGACCTGGGACAAATCCCCTTACCCTCTCAGGGCCTCAATTATTGTCATCTCTTAAGCGGGTCCCATGTACCCAGTGTCCCCTTCTCACCTATCCATTGACAAGTGTTTGTCAAGTCCTTCCTATGTGCTAAGGCCTGTCCTAAGGCAGTCCTTACTCGCCTGCCTCAGAGGGATATTAGTCAATCAAGCATTTAGTAAGAGCCTACTATGTGTCAGGCACTGGGTATTTGAACCCAGGTGAGAGCCCAGTTCAGGTGTCCGGATCAATGGCTTCCTGTCCTCCCTCTCCTGCCCCCGCACCCCCATCGCAGCTCAGGAAGGGTCCAGCTGGGGATTTTCTTGGCTGTGGAGAGGCTGCTGGAGCAGGCAAAGTTCTGGGGCTCGGTGGACATCTTTGGCGTGGTCCTGCAGTTGGCACGGGCCTGTGGCTCTATGACGCCGACGCTGGTGAGAGGTGGGAGTGGGCGGGCACCGTCTCTGGGATGTGGGTAAGGGCAAGAGCCGTACCAGCAGCTGAGTGTGGGCACCAGGTGGCGTTGCTGACCGCCTCTGCTCCTCTTCTGCTGGGTGCCTTTGGAGACAGACGCTTCTGGGGAAGACCTGATAGAGCCTTAAAGATAAGAAAGGGGTTTTAAAAATCATAGCCCAACCCCTTTCATTTTGCAAATTAAGAAACTGATAGCCCCCGAGTTCTTCCTCTGACCCTGGGCTTTGCCCACCTAGACACAGTTCCTGCTCAGGCTCTTTGCCCTCTCCCTTCCCCCCTAGGATCAGTACATTTACCTCTACAGCTGTGTGGGCAGTGCCCTGGCCAATGAGCTAGCCTAAGGGAAGGGGTGCAGCTGCCCAGGAGCTAAAGAGTCTTGGAGCCCTTCTGCTTTGGATTCAGATTGAACTTGGCTTGGCCAGTGCGGATGAGTCTCAGGGGCCTGGCCTGCTCCCCCGCTGTGGGGGTGGTCTCCATGTCCAGTCTCCAGGACAGGACTATGAAATCGTGGGCCTCTGCAAATAAACATAGATGATCAAAAACTAAGACTGGGTGTATTCTGTCATCTTCTCTTCAACTCCCCTCTTAGCCCACACTAGGGTTAGAAGAAGGGTCAGAGCCAGGAAGTAGTCGAGTGAAAAGAGAATAGGAAGGGTTCCTTATGCTTCATTCTTATTTCTGAGTGAAGGGGAATGGCAGGGAGCTGGGGAGGGCTGGGGAAATCGGAGATTCCAAATGGGGTTGCTGAAGGGAAGAATTAGTGGCTACTTGAAGATATATAACAATAATAAAAAATAGTATGGCCTTCTATGAGACAAGTGTGATTTAATATTTTAATATTCAGTGGATCTACAATCTCAAAGATGTGTGTTGACTTCTAACTGACTTCTACTGATTCAGATTGAAACTGCCCATACCTGCCCAACCTGGTCCTTGACCTCTTGTAAATCCTCCTCTCTGTGTGTGTGTGTGTGTGTGTGTGTGTGTGTGTGTGTGTGCGCGCGCGCGTGTGGTGTTCCATCTAATATACTGGGGCCTTCCTCAAATGCTCTTGACATTTTACTCGTACCAGTAGAGTCCTCGGTTATTTAAATGTTAGCACGTATGAAGTGTGATTGTGATGTCCGTCTATGGAACAGCTTCCGAACGACGGGCCAGCGCTCCTCCTGAGGGCTCAGCTAGACTTTCTGTTCCCGTCTCTGAGGCCTTTGTCTCTCTTGTTACCTGTTAGTGGCATATGCCATGTTTGAATCCTGTCAGTGCCTTGTGTTTGTGGGCTCCCAACTATAGTGGGCCAGGGCGCTATCTGTCTAGGGATGTGTCTCCGTTATGACATCTCTCTGTGTAATTGCTAGGGTGTGTCTGCGAGACCTCTGACCCAGGCCACTGAGATGCAGCTGTCTAGTGTTCCTGTGACACATCTCTCCCTGAAGGGCGACATTGGGATTATCTATTGAATTGTTTTTTTATTAGGGATTATCTATTCTAATGGTCTGTTGTCACTTGGTGTGGGAAGGCGGATGTTGTGACTCTTAGAGATGGACTTGGGCCCTGTCCTAACCTGTTGACCCCCAAACCAGCTGGTGAAGCACATTTCTCCTCCTGCCATACCAGTTCTTTCTCGGGGGGGGGGGGCAGCCCAGATTCTAGTACCTCAAGCAGGCTTCCCTACGCCCTAGCCTCTTAGCCCTGTTCCTCTCCCCACCCCCCCACCATTTCCTTAGTCCCCAGTGTTCATATGATGCTTATCTCACATATTACTGACATCTGTCTGCAATTAACAAGTTCCAATTAATCAATTACTAATAATTATTAATGATAAATCCAAGAATCCAATAACAAGTATTCAAGAGTTCAGTTTCAAACACAGGCTTGGTCTGAGATCTAGAAATTCAAGCAATGACGGTGTCAAAAATACAAAGCAAGTAATGGTCATTGTTCTAACTCCAGGTGTTAGCACATTGCTCTAACTCCCAGACACAGCTGGTGGTACAGTGGGTAAAGAGCCCTGGGGAGTCAGGAGGACCTGAGTTCAAATCCAGTCTCAGACATCTCTAGCTGTGTGACCCTGGATAAGTCACTTAACCTCTGTTCGCTTTAGTTTCCTCAACTATAAAATGGAGATAATAATAGCACCTATCTCACAGAGTTGTTATGAGGCTCAAATGAGATTTTTTTTTTCTTTGTAAGTACTCAGTTGCCTGGCATGTAGTAGTCATTATATGAATTCTTATTCTCTTCCCAATCCCCCACTGCCTTAGCCCCCAATCAGTTAATCTCCTACTTTCCCATAAATTCCTACAGCCTAGTGCTTTGGTCTCCCAGTCTTTAATAAGATCATAAGTTACAGACCTGGGAGGGACTTTTGAGATCATTTAGACCAGAGGTATCAAACTCTCTACTTGCAAAACTCCCTAGTGCAACCCAAACCAGATTAAAATGTAATTGGGAAATGTTTTAATGAAATAAATTAAAATGCAATACAACATGCAGCTGCTGTTCCACCGTTTTAGTCCTATCTGATTCTTCATGAGCCCTTTTGGGGTTTTCTTGGCAGAAACACTGGAGTGGCTAGCCATTTCCTTCACTAGCTCATTTTGCAGGTGAGGAAACTGAGCAAACAGGGTGAAATGACTTACCCAAGGTCACACAGCTAGTAAGTGTCTAAAGCCAGATTTGAACTCATGAAGATGCATCTTCCCGATTCTAAGCCCGGTGCACTGCACTGCTTAGCTGCCCATCCAATACAGCATAGATAATGTTAATTTTTGGCTTTCCAAGTCAATATGATTACCAGAGATCCAGTTCTATTTAAATTTGACACCATTCCTCTCATTTTTACAGGTAAGGAATTTGGGGCTCAGAGAAGGGAAACACTTTGCCTAAAGGTGACTCAGGTAGTGAGTAGCCCTGCTAGGTTTAGACTCCAAATCTAATTCTCTTTCTGAGGTTAGAGGAAGCTTCAGGAGTGTACTGGTAAATGTTTACCAATCATCTCTCAGAAAAAGCAGGATATACTTTTAAAATTTCTTCTGTATCGTTAACATTATTATTAATTAAGTCTAGACCAGAGGTACCGAACTCTAATAGAAATGAGAGCACTGAACTTAAATATACAAGGATCCATGAAGGCTGCAGATGGACTTAGAAAACCAGAGATTAACATTATATATGTTCTCTGGTATCTTTATTTTGTTAAATATTTTCCAATTACAGTTTATTATGTACCATATCCTTTTTTTTTTTTTTGGTGAGGCAATCGGGGTTAAGTGACATGCCCAGGATCACACAACCAGTGTCAAGTGTCTAAGGTCACATTTAAACTCAGGTCCTTTTGACTCCAAGGCTTTACCCACTGCTCCAATTACAGTGTAATCTGGTTTGGGCCTCACTCCACCTACAAGCCATGTGTTTGACAACAAAACAATAAATCAAACCCTGATTTGAAGTGGATTTCTGACAATTTAACAATTGGTTCTCAGAAGCTAGTCTGAGCAGACTCCAGCAGGCACACCCTTGGAGGTGTCTACATGCCTCAACTCCCCACCTTTCTCTAAGGGCTGAACATGGTAATTTGCTCCTCATTGAGTCCCCATCTCTCTCCCTGTTTGGTCCCCATTTATTCTGTAGGAAAGCTGCTCCCTCTCCCTCTCCCTTTCCCCATCTCCCTCTATTCCTCCAGTTTCACCCATCCCTCAGTCTCAGTCACCTGTATTCCCATCCTTCTGCTCTTAGCTTCCTGAATTTCTCATTTGCCCCATTTGCCCAAGATCCCAGACCCCTGGTTTCTCAGTCCTCAGTGTTTCCTTTAGGCTAGGTGTATCCCAGCGGGAGCAGAGGGGAGTACCCTCCTTGTGGAATGGGGTATCCCTCTTTCTCCTCTCCACAGATGTTACCAGGGGTAGAGACAATGCAATTTGCCTCATCTTCCCGCCGACATCATTGGGGACCACCCACAGCCAGAATCACTCATCTGGACTCTCTGTTCCCTGCTAGGAGAGCCTGGGTGGGAGGGGGAGAGTCTTGTGCTGTGGTGCGAGGTTAGGAGGTAGAGGCTTGGCTGCTCCTATGGGAGGATGGAGATCAGGCCACGCTGGCCACATTCTCTTGGCACCTGCCCTCCTTTGTCACCCTCAGCAACAGGAGCTAAGAGAGAGGATTCTGGAAAGGGAAAGGATTGGAAACTGAGGCAGAAGGGGAAAGAGAAAGATAAGGAAATTGGGAGGTGAGGGAAGAGAGAGTTTAGGACACACTAGAATTTGAGTAGGTCTGCGTGTGTTTCCACAATGGGGTCTGAAAGACTGGACATCAGGATATCACACAGAAGCGTATGAAGGGTAAAGGGTTTCAATCTGCGGCATGCTATGGATAAACTATTCTGGCTGTCTAATTGAAAAAATGAATGGAAATGAATTTATTAATCACTGTGCTCCAGGCACTGTTGCTAAGGGCTGGGGACATGAATTCAAGAAAGCAGAGCAGTCTTTGCCTCAAGAAGTTTACAATTTAATGAGATGGCAACACATGCTTAGGGTGGGATGGCCAGGGACAAATGTTCTGGACAGGAAAGCCAGAGAGAATGGAGATTGGAGCCAATGTACTTTCTCGGACTGGAAGGATTGATTTGATTATTGCTCTTAGAGCTAGTGTTGGGAAGGGAGGAGGGGGAGAGGGTGTGGAGACCTATGTCTTATTGACTATGAGCTCCTTGATGGCAGGGAGCAGGCCTTATGTTGCTTTGGGACCCCCTATAGCACCAAGAACAGGGCTGGGCACACACGAGTTGGACTGGCTGGAAGTGACAGCTTTGAGAGGAAAGGGCATTACAGAATCATAGATTCAGAGCTGGAAGGAGACCTCAGAGGGTATCTGGTCCAACCAGAAAGCCCAGCAGAGAGACAGAGAAAACAGAGGCAAGGTTACATCATGGCTTTCCTGTTTCTCAGCCTGCTGGGGGTGGGTAGAGATGCTGACATAGGACAAAGGATCTAGGGATTAGGGGTCAAGGGAGAGGATGTAGGACTCCTTCAAAGGAGCACAGAACAGATTCATGCTTGTGAGACCAAGACCCTAGTCTGCCTGCATATTGGCAGGGAGACTGAATGAGGAGAAAAAACCCACACAATTCTCAGGACATTGAAATCAGTCAGTCAACAAGCATTAAGCACCTACTACAGGCCTGCACAACCTGTGGTAGCCTAAGGGATTTCGGGTGGCCCTAGAAATATCTAGAGGAAAGCATCCTCTACATTTTTCACAGGCCGTCTGAAATCCTTTGGTATACCCACAGGCTATGTATGGGTTGTGCAGGCCTGATCTACTCTATAGCCAGACACTGTGCTAAGTGCTGGGGATATGGAAAGAGGCAAAAGACAATCTCTGCCCTCAAGGAGCTTACAATCTAATAGGGAGACACAAGCAAAGAAATAGATACAAAACAAGCTATATGCAGATTAAACAGAAACTAATCTACACAGAGGGAAGGTAGTAGAATTTACAGGGGTTGTTCCTTCTTGTAGAAGGTCAGATTTTAGTAGAGATGTGAAGGAAGCCAGGGAAGGCAGGAGGCAGACAAGAGTGGGGAGAGAATTCCAAGCATGGGGGACAGGCAGAGAAAACGTCTGGAGCAGAGAGATGGAGTGTCT